AAATAATAACAAAGGCCAAAGTCTTCGCCATTTGCTCGCCATTCGCTACCGAGCATGTGCAGCTCTCACTGGAGCCGAGAAGGAAGCTGTTGTTTGTAATGTATCGATATTATCATATATATCGATATTGTCATATTTCATATCTTGTAAAATATCTTGTCAATAATACTTTCCGGAGTCATATCTTATGCCTACTCATTTTATATTCTGATAATATTTTAATATTATTTAGGTGGAGGCTTTAAATAAGCACAGTTGGCTTTTTGCCTCTTCCTGCACTGTGATATTTATTTATCTCTGTTATGTTTGTTTATTATTATTTTACTGTTTAAATTGTGAAAAATAAATTAAATAAAATAAATGTACCAGCCCGACGTGACGTTTTTTACTTTCCAGGCATCATAAAAGAAATAAAACAAACTATATTCAGTATTTTCAGTTTTAAAATCATAAGAGATGCTTTTCTGTTTTATAGCTTGTTCTGACCCGTTGCATTCTGGGAAAGTGTGTTCCTATAGTTTCATAGCTTCTTATTTTTCATAATATAAATATATTAACCAAACTTGCCAGTGGATATTGTGTCCCTCTTTCTTTCTCAAACTCTCACCAAACCTTGACTCCTGCAGCGAGAACCGAGCTGTGAAGCGTTTACACGTCTACGGACTACAGCTGCTCGCTAAACGCTCCATCTGAGCCTCCGTACTCTCCCGTATCTCCACCTCCTGGATGACTTCATGACGTCTCCGGTGGTGATTTTGGATCACAGAACCCCCCCCCCGTCCGTCCGTCAAAACTCTCACCTCTCCGGCCTTGGCCCGCTGAGAATGTGGCAGCACCACGTTATCTCCACATTTAACTCGCAAATAAAGCTTCGCACGTGCACCAATGCTGAAAAAACGTGCATTGCTTTATGTAAGTTTTTGCACATGATCTCTATGATCTGGTTTCACGGACGCATACAGCTCTTTTAACAAATTGTATTAAAGTCAGTCAAACAAACAGAAAGCCGCTGTTTCATCCCGTTGGTTCGGACACATATTGAGATAATAACGACCTGAGTGGCATGTTGTAATACATCTCCACATGATGCGAGTCCATTAGTCGAGGCTTTTATCTCTGCAGCTCCTGTGGGCACTAAATAACACGGCTCATATCCAACATAACATCCCATAATAAACCACATTCACAAACAGAGTGTCCTGGTTTGTTCGTATAGAAAGTCCTCTGCATGAAGCATTAACCCTCTGAACCCCAGAGACACACCGGCGGGATGTAAAAGCATGGTTTCTTTAAACAATCTCTAAAACTGAACTGTTTATCTCAGCCAGACGCTGGAAAGAAACTGAATCATCGTCCGATTTTCATTTTTACGACAGTCTATGAACACATCATGTGAACCTCAGATTAATCCCACAGTTTATCGTTAACCATCAGAGTGTAAATAAAGTTTTACTGACAATGGTTCTCCTCCAATATTCAGTAGAACATGTGTTTCTAGTCTCTGATCTCTGATCATGTTTCATTGTAAACAACCAATCAGAGGAGAGCTAGTAACGTTAGCAGCACCGCTAACGGCTAACCAACAG